GGCCAGACGGGGAGCCCTGCCTTCTCGGTTGCTCCCATGAACAAAAAAAGCAGGTTTCATCACTAGGCTCCCACCGAAAAAAAGGAGCCAGTGGTCATCGTCCTCTGGCAGGACCGCCGACCTCATCCCCATCGCCCACACTGTGGAGGCATGGCCATCTTCACCGGCAGCCTTTTCTTTTTCTGATAGAGAATGGGGTAGGGGGAGGGCTTCCCCAGGCAGCACCCCCCTGACTTGGGGGACACAGCCCCCCCATAGCATTTCGATGCTTTGCCACTTCTCCGAATGTCCTGGGACATTCTCAGTTTTCCGGCAGCTGGAGCCCTCAGCCTTTCCCTCGGTGGTCAGCAGTTTTATTTCTGCTTCTCCTGGGAGAAAGGCCCACTGCTCTCAGAAGCCCCTGGACACTGCCCTTAGCCAGGCCTGCCCTCAGAGGCTGGGGGCTGGAGCAGGACAGGACTGGGGGGGGAACGGGGGAGGGGCGCTGGCCGGGCAGGCTCTCTTGTCCCCGTCCGCCTGGTCCCCGCTTTCATCCCAGGCTGACCTCGCATGTCTGCTTACACGTCTGTGGTCCTCCCAATGTCCTCCCCCCACCCCTGCCCCTGGGCAGGTGCCCTAGGTGGAGGCATCCTCCAGGGAGAAGCTGGCTCACTGGTTTTTGGATGGCTGAACTCTCCCAGTGTGTCCAGCTAATCAAAGCTCTTAGTGAGCACTTACTGCACACAGCTCAGTTAGGCCAAGTGGCTCCCCAAAGGCACAGCTCCCCACCCACCCACCCAGCTCTTTCCTACTTAGTTGAGGTGGCTGGAGCCAGCAGGTGGGCTTCCTGGAAGAGGGGACCTGACCTAGATTTTCAGAGAGGGAAAGAGGTGGGCCTCGCCTCTCTGCCTGCCGAGATTTCTCGTCTTACCCACCCCCGAGCCCTGCCAGACGATTGGGGCCACCTCCCCAGCCCAGGACTCCCACTGCCCCCCTGCAGGCTGGAATTCTGGGCTTGTCCCTTGAGACCAGGGTTCAGGAAACCAGCCGCTCGGGTCTTTTGAGCCGTGGGGCGCTACCCAAGAGCCGGCCACTTCTTCTAGACACGTGGGAGCCATAAGGCGTGGCAGGCCGTGGCCTGGCAGGTGGTTCCCTCCGCAGCCAGGGCGGCGGGTCAGAGGGAGCTGTGACCCAGGGCAGCGGTGGTTCGGGGTCTGCTCCAGCAGCAGGATCGGGGCTGTGGGCAAGGAAGAGCCAGCAGTATGGGGGTGAGAACCTCAAGACCCCCACACGGGAGCTGGGGACGGAGCGGGGTCAGCTGGCGCCAGTGGCTGCTGGTCGAGAGCGCACTGGACTGCGTGTGTACAGGTGAGGACTGGCGGGTGGGCGGCAGTACTGGGGGGTCGGCGTGTCAGGGGTCGGCTGTCGGTGGACCCGCAGGTCTGCTGGGCCCAGCCCGTGCTCGTTCCCTGGCTCCATCATTTGAGACCTGTGTTCTTAGAGGAAATGTGCCTTCAGCGCCTCCAGCTCCCACAAAGTGACAACAGCATCATTCCTCTCCCCGAATATAAAGAGAAAACTCGTCACACATGCCAACAAAAGAAAGAATGCAGAATGATCCGAAATCCCAGAGATAACTACTGTCAACATTTTTGTTCCATGTTGTTCTAGAATTTATATGGCTGTTAACATGTTTAAATATATAGACTATTTCGTAAAGGTAGATTTTTATTGATTTATGTATACAAAAGCTGTGATGTAGGCCAGAGGTGCAGAATTCACCAGAGACAGAGTGGGGAGCAGAGCAGGTGGATGGACTGAGGTACACTGCTGAGGGGACAGTGAGGTCCCTCCCCGGCCGGGGGTCGAGCTCGTCCGGCAGTGGCTGGGACGGCTTCATGGTGCTGAGTCTCAGCCCCTGCGCCACCAGGGAGGCCCGTACAGAGATCTTTAAGACAAAAGCATGGCCGCAGAGTCCACGGCGCCTTGCGTCCAGTTCAGTCAGTCATGCCTGGCAACCATCCTTCCACATAGGTAAGTAAAATTCCATCGCATTACAGTGACTGAAGATACTGCAGTGAGTCAAGACGCCATCACTCGTTGACTCGACCTCTTCGCACGGGCTGACACCGCCTCCATTGAAGAGCTTCTGGGAACAACATCATGAAGCATGCTCGCAAACACACGTGCACACGGTGTTCCCTCACGCAAGCACGCACGAGCTCACCCAGGCACCCCTCACACTATGAGACAGCTGGTTTTGAACCAGTTTTCGATGTAACTTCCTTGTGGATCAGCAGTGTGCTGTCCACTGAGTCCAGCACTGAGAGGCGCAGACCTGGGCACAGCTGTGCTGAGGCGACTGCTGGTGCCCGTGGAGCGGGCGAGGTCTCCTCCTGGAAGGATCCCTGCGGACGTGTTTTTGCACAAACAGACCTCTCCGAGTAGAGCTGTTCTTAGCAAGCTGTTGCCTGTAATCATCCCCCATGAAGTTCTTTTCACTGTACCCTTGGTACAACCGCTGATCTGTCAGCAAACAGAAGGGAGCCCTTCATTTCTGCCTCAGCTCTGCCTCCCGACTGGCCCACGGAGGCCGAGGACTGGCGGGCCTCCGAGAGGAAAGCCCGCTGGGGCTCTGAGCACCAGGCTCTCCCCGCTGCCACGGGGCGGGGGGCACCTGTGTCTAAAGGGCTCCCGGTGACTCCGTCCTCCGCCCCAAACGTCACCTAAAGGAGGGTCCCCCAGGTGGGAGAGTGGGGGGCACCCTGCACAGAGGCCTGGGCGGATACATGGGCCTCGTGCCCCACAGGCTGGGCACAGGGGCAGGACCTGGGGAGACCCACGTGGGGTCCCCCAGGACGGAGCCCAGTGTGGAGAAGGGGAAATGTCTGGGCCTGGAGGGGGCCGAGTCGCCAGGGTCTCCTGTTGCTGACACCCCAGCTGGCCAGCCCCCGCCCAGCGGAGGGACAGCAGCCAGAGAGGACAGGGACGTGGCAAGGCCCGCCCCCACGCCCGCTGCGGGACCAGCGCTGCCCCCGCCTCACCCCCTTCAGACCCAAGGGGCAAACAGGCTGAACCAGGCCGACCCTCCTTGTCACCCAAGCCGGGGGAGGTGGCATTAATGATTACACAGGCTGCAGGCGTGAACAGGCGGCCCTGGGCGAGTGGGCTGCCCGACCAGCCTAGCGTGACAGCCGAACGCCACCCACCTGCCCGCCAGGAGAGCTGGGAGCCCTTGGGGACCCGAGAACTCTTACCCCACACCTGGCCAGGGGCCTGAGGGCCCAGCAGCCCGAGCGGCTAGCCTTCCCCGGGCGTTCGGGGGCCCTGGGCTGAGCTGCTCCCTCAGCAGCCCCCTCCCGCCTGGAGCTGTGCAGGCACACAGCGCCCTGTTTATTCCCCTTGCGCCCGGCAGCACTCGGGTTTTGGGTGCGTCCCTCTGGGTGGTGCCCACTGACCCAGAGCTGCCCTCACTGACAGCTGTGACCGTGGGCCCTCCTGGGGGCCCCTCCGGGAGGACCGGCACCAGCGGCTTGGCCAGCTGGGCTGACTTCTCCCCTGCCCCCGGCCTGTGCCTGGCAGTCGCACGCCACTCAGTGCCCGTAAATGTCCTGGGGAGCGGGCTCAAGTGCAGGTCCGAGTAGCGAGGCCAAGGGCGTCCCCCGCTCCAGCCCCTGCCTGCCTTCCCCTGGGAGCTCTCTGCTGAGACAGCAGGCGATGCCCTGTGGGTCTGAGAGCCTCCGGCCACCCCTGGCGCCCCTGCCGCCCTTCAGAGCACTGTCACAGCCTGTCTCTGGTGACGGGTAGGTCACTACTGAGGGATGGGGGAGAGCCGTCCCCAGTGACGGTGTGGCCACCCCCGCCGTGAAGCCCCTCCCATGATGATTGTGGGGCCCGCACGAGCTTTGCTTGGCCCATGGCACATTGGCAAGATGGCACAGGCTTGAGAAGCCTGCGGGCACTGGGTTTGCCCTCGGAGCACACAGCTGCCAGGCGGAGCAGCTGCCGGCGCCCGCTGGTCCAGCCGCCCTGGCCACACCAGCTGCCCACTGCAGCTGCAGACGTGAGTCCAGAGCAAGTGCCCACTGAGCTGAGCCCCGTGCTGGCCCACGCAGCGGAGGGCACGCTCGGGTGGCCGTGGGAACCACTTAGGGCCTGAGCCTCTGGCTTGTCCGCGGCGCTCGCCCCAAGGCCTCGGGTGCAGGGATCGGTCGGGCTGTTTGGCAGCTCATACCCGCTGCTTCTGTTCACGAATGAATGCGCCAGGCCAGCGACCTCGCCCCTCAGCACCACACCCTGTCCCTACGTGCGCTGCCCGTCTGGGCCAGGAGGGATGCGTTAGCCTAGGCCAGAGCCGTAAAGGATGAGTGTGTGTCGTAATCAGACCCCAGGACTTGTGCTGAGAATGCTGGGGACCCACCTCCCCTCCCCAGTCAGTGAAGAGGAGGCAGGCTGAGGGCGATGGTCATGCTCTGACTGGGCAGAACCAGCCGGGGCAGGCAGTAAGTACGTAAAGGCCCTGGCCACGCAGGGCCAGCTTTTCAGTCGCGTTTCGGGGTTCTAGGAGCAGTGGACTGGCCAGTCAGGGTTCCTGGGGGCAGCCCTGTCGCACAGGTAGATGCGTACAGTGTGCCTAGATCTGTAAGGTCACGAGCATAAGCCGTCCAGGTACTGACGGATGTGCCCCCTAGAAACAGGCACTCACCATGTGTGTGTC